GAATAACAGTCAACGGAAATGGTCTACATATGACAGCAAAACTTCTGGCAATATATGAGTCTATCCAGGAAATTTTGGCACATGTTAGAAGGTCGCAACTTCATATTTACTAACCAAAAACCACTAACATTCGCTTTCAGACAAAAAGCAGAAAAGAACTCTCCTCGACAACTGAGACACCTTGACTATATCTCTCAATTTTCCACTGATATACAGTATGTTACAGGTAGGGAAAATGTTATTGCTGACAACATTCTCCCGAATAGAAGTAGATTCGGTTTCTCGCTCACCTATTCTGGATTTCAAACAGTTAGCCTCAGCACAACTCACAGACCATGAACAACAACAATTACTAATGTCTAAATCTCCTTCTTTGAAGCTCTCCAAACAGTATTTTCCATTGAAGATATTTATCTCTATTGTGACTCCACAACCAATGTCCCTCGTACTTTAATTCCCTTTTCATTCAGACATATCATCTTCCAAAGTATTCACAACCTTTCACATCCAGGTATACCTGCCACTTCAAAATTGATACGCATACATTACATTTGGCCTATTATGCACACTTTTATTAAAAACTCTATGAACGACGCTTGTGAGAAATGTCAAAGTTCCAAGATACACAAAGCATACAAAATCACCCATTTCGACATTTTTACTTCCTGATGCCAGATTTTCTCATATTCATATAGATTTTATTGGCCCATTACCAATTTCTGAAGGTTATCAGTATTGTTAGACCATAATCGATCGCTTTATACGATGGCCGGAAGTAACTCCCACATCTGATATATCGGCTGAAACAATTTGTAAAGCTCTAATTAGTGGATCGATAGCTCATTTTGGATGCCCTTCCAACTATCAGTACCGACCAGGGTCAGAACTTTGAATTGCATCTTTTCAGGGAGTTCACGAACCTGCTGGGCACTCATCGTATTCGTACCACTGATTATAGACCGCAATCAAATAGAATCATTGAACGTTTCCATCGCCAACTGAAAAACACAATAAAATCGCAAGAGAATCCTCGCTGGACAGAATCGTTACCTCTTATACTTTTGGGTATTAGATCTTCCGTCAAAGACGACATCCAAGCAACTTGTTCTGAGTTAGTCTACAGTACTTCCGTAAGACTGCCTTCGATTTTGTGCTCAGATCAGCTTTCTCCACCATCCCTAACACCAACATATGTAAATCGTTTACGATCTGTCATGCAATCTCTGATTCCCATCGCAACATCAAAACACTGTTCAGAGCCTATCCACATTCATCCACCTTTAAAATCATGTTCTCATGTTTATTTGAGAATTGACTCAGTCAAGCCTCCTCTTCAACAACCATACTCAGGTCCTCATCCAGTCATTGAGTGATATGATAAAACTTTTATCATCTCCGTGCATGGTAAAAATCAAACTGTTTCAATTGATCGACTTAAACCTGCATTTTTCGTTAGTGATAAAACCTTTGTCTCTAACACTAAACCTTCCAATAAGACAGACACATTGAAGCCTACCATGTCACATGTTCCTAAAACTACCACAAAATCTGGACGACATGTCAAATTCCCTCAACATCCATCTACCACCTACATATAATTTATATATATTGTTATTTATTCAGTATTTCATTATGCAGTTTAACTTATTATGTGTTTTATATTGTACCTTTTACCTTCACATTTATCATTGTATAATATAAATTCTGTATTTTTTTTTTTTTTTTTTTTTTTTTTTGTTGTGTGTGTTGTGTGTGTGTGTGTGTCTGTATTGTTCGGTCTCCCTCACTGGGGGGAACTCTGTTGTGTTACTATGGAAATATCGTACGAAGTTTTGTGAGTTCTATGCATGCTCGCCTCGCATGAGCGGCTGATAGTGAGGAGAGAGCAGTGTGCATGAAGCGAGAATTTACCTTCTCATCGGAATGTTATTATTGATGTGTTAAATAAAGTTTATATATTTTATACTTGTGTCTTGCCTCACCACGGAAATCCTACAACTTTAACATTTCATGAGATTTACAAAGCAGTAATACAGATTACGATAGTACAATAATACAGAAGCAATAATACAGAAAGAACGCAACTTTAGATCATGCTCTTGCCCATGGTGGACAAAAGATTTAACGATTCACAGAAAGAAGGTCAGAGCAACCAGAGAAAGGTTCCAAAAAATGATAGGAGAGCAAAGAGTTAAAAACAGAATAATCTGCAAAGAAGTACGACCAAATTATAAACAGCTAGTGAACAAAGAGAAGAAAAAAGCTTGGGGTATGCTTTGGAACTAAATAACAATAAGCTCTCAGGACTTACTTTGAAATTGCAAAGGGAAAATACAAGGGCCCCCTGCAAATCAGTGCCATTAGAAGAGAAGATGACACCTTGTTAAACAATGCAGAAGATACTATCCAGAAAATCATAAAGTACCATTTCCCAAAGATGATCTTAACCAAGACTTGGATCACCATACAGAAATATTAGTAATTTCAACAACAATCTCTGTGTGACAGCAGTAAAATCTTAGGTCATGTAGGAGCTGCATTCACAGTGTTCTCAACCAACGAGGAAATCTACAAAGAGTACTTTTGGCTAAGCTATTAATGCCTCAGTTTTTCAAGCACAATCCCTAGTGTTCGAAGTAAGCCTCTGGCTAGGTTCGCAGGACCCAGAGGAGAAGGCCCTCTTTACGGACAGCATAAGTGTTTTCAAAGGATTGAACTTCTGTTCAACTAAAGAGCCACACTTTGCAGCTGTAAAGGAGGTCTTCTTGATGCCTTTCTCTATGACCCCAGTTACGATCAGCTGGTTAGAGGCTGCAGCCCAGTGCACTGGACAGAAAAGGGAATGATAGGGCCAATGAATTAGCAAAGCTGGCCGGGACCAAAACTTCCACTGATAAAGATGTTTTCCTTTCAGGCATAATTCACAAAACTGTACATCAAGTCAGTTTTCCTGGCAGAATGGACTGAACATTGGTGGGAATAAAACGCAGGTTGTTTCACCTTTAACATCTTCGAGCCTCCCTCCTTGCAAAGGATCAAGGTGTTGGTTCTTTCTGTACGCCAGCACCAACCCTGTCAAATTTCCAGCCTATTACTCATGGTTTATGCCAACAATATTTCCTTGCAGATGGATTAAGTGCATTTCACACAAGACAGGATCCTCAATAGTTCAACAGCATGAATGATCACAATCAAATTTACCCACAGAGGGCCGGCTCACTAGTGGCCGAGCAGTTAAGTTACTGAACACTTGTAGTTTGACATAAGTTGGATTCCAAGTGAATGGATTGGCTGCATGGCCCTTTTTATGAGGCAGTTTTCTTTAGGAAATTCTTCACAAAGGCATCCATCTCCTAGGTGAATTTTATTGTGTGTTTTGCCATAATCAAATAAACCAAAGCAATCACCCACAGAGAAATCAGACTGATTAGGCTGTAAATGTGTGAATACTAAGTAATCATATTACTGGTATCTCAATAGCTGATCAGAAATTAATAATTGGTATTTCCCTAAACTGCATTCTTGTCAGAACTGCACAGCCTATGTTCCCAGTATGATGGAGCAACAGTACATTTTAGCTCTGATTTATATGATTTGGTTGCCTGAATATAGTAGATCCAGGACTGAACTCTTTGCCCAAATCACACTGAAGTAACTCTTTGCCCAGATGAATATATAACTAAACTCCTTGCCCAGATCACTGAACTGGGGAAGTAGTTATGTGCTATCATGATTGCCACAGCAGACACCTTTGAATTTCTTTTGTTGAGGCCATCTGAAGGAATCATTATATTGAACCCCACTTACCATGAAGACTGCATTGTTCATTTTCATGTTGCATTTACTTTTGTAACCACCATGCAACTGGATTGTTCAGTCAGCCATTTTACAAGGCACACAAGCAAATACATCAGATGAGATAGTATACTTTTTCTTTAACATGTACATAGAAAAGCATGGATCACAGATTTGAAATTCTTTGGTCATGTTTATACTTTTAACAAGGAATTTGTTTTATAGAGTTTATGAGATCTTGCTAGAACATTCTATGTACTGCTTATAAATACTTTTATAATGAAATACTATTACTATTATTAAAATGCATCAAAAATGGTTCACTTAGGTTTCAGCTCATTAGTTTAATATTTATTACATCCCTTTCCCTCTTATCATAATGCACTAAATATTGAAAACACCTAAATTCATTTTCATGAAAATCCTTCAAAAATTTGCACTAAATTCCCTGTTATTGCATCAACAGACAAAACAGCAACTATAAAGTGACAAATTTTACTGTGGGGAAAAAAAAAAAAACTGCATGATGTTATTTCAACTGAATATAGAAACAAGTTGAAACTTTGGCCAATAATTCACAGACAACAAAAGCATCATGAACAATGCATTATCATGATGCAAAATTCAGAAGTTATCTTGCAGTAAGTCACACTATGTTTTACAAACTCAAGCAATGCTGAAAATATCCACACAATATTCTTTGTTAACAGTCTGACTACTTGATAAAAATTCATAATGCACAATGGCATGGCCAGTGAAAAAAACATTAAGTATTACTTTAATTGTTGATGAAGTTTTTTTTTTTTTTTTTTTTTTTTTTTTTTTTGTTTTGTTTTACTTCACCTTTTGACAGTCATTCACTTAATTGTTAAGATGTCTGCATATGAAAAGCATGGATGTACGCTTCATTGCGAGAAATAAAATGTTACTAGGGATGATTCACCTTAAAAAGCGTAATGAGCACACTGTTGTTTTTGAACCTGAGAATCAATGTACTGCAGATCTTAGCAAAAAAAATTCTTCAAAACTTTCTCTACCTTCCTTAAGCATCTTACACCATTAAAAAAACCCTTAATTACATTAATCATCCTTAATGCTTTTTTTATCACAGAATTTCACAATTAAAATTATTATTCTGCTAAACAGAATGTAATTTTAAATTTCCTAAATTAGATATACAATATATATAAATAATTTTAACTTACTTTTGCTATTAGTGACTTAGTTTGTAAATAAAATGCTTCAATAGTTGCACTGTCATAAAGCTGGGTAATACTCTCAACAAAATATCTAAAAAGAAATATTTCTTATAAAAAGTGCAAAATCACAGTACATGCATTAATAAAAAGGAAATAAAAGCATACCAATATTATTGAGGGCATAAATATATACACAAATTTTCTATGTGTTATTAAATGATTACATTTTAGAATATTCATTGAATTTTTTCCAAGAAACAAAAGAAAAGTTCACTTTAATGATTTAAACATTTTATTACAAATTATCCTTGACTTATGACAAATATTACTCCAGCAGTCTTATGGTAAGTCGATTTCCCATTTTATTTTTTATGTATTTGATAATATTTTTATAAATTAAGATTATATGAAACACAAAATGAAGTTAAATTCTTAACTTATATAACAATTATAAATAATTTATCTGTATTGTATATACACATATTTTATAAAATTAACATGAGAAATTAAATTTCTTTAAATTAATGAAAATTCTTTAAATTAATTCTCTTCCTTTAAATCAATTAGAAATAACACATGAGAAATTGTTACTCATTTGAGTGATTCACTGCACATAAAAAAATGCATGTATGCATGCGCTGGTGGCAAATTTTAATGAGAAGATTTTTAATCCTTTTTCCTAGCCAATGGTTGTAGAAGCATAATTGTCAAAAAGTAAAATAGAATTTTTTTAATTAGAAGCAGAAAAGATGACTAACTATTAGTGTAAAAAATTAATTAAAATTGGATGGCCAAATACAAAAATCTATAGCCCCAGAACTGGCAAAATCATATTTTAACTTCAGAGAAGAATAACCAGAAACAAATGGATTAAAATTTTTGAATCCCTGTTTTGTTTTACCTAGAACTTTACAGGAAGATTTGTTAAGTACAATTCTTTATACACATTTAGGAGTAGAAAAAATTATAAAAAGCAAAGCAAAAGAAATATATTTTCCAGTAATGCCAAAAAAATTAAGACCTGGTTCTGAATTGTCCAACATGTGGGAGTTCTCAAAAAGCTAATAATAATGAACCAATTGTATCTAAAGAAATACCAAATGGTCCACGGAAAGTATTCTCTTTCACTCTCAAACTCTTTCACTCTATTCTCTTTCACAGATCTCTTTCACTTTCAAAGCAAAACTTATCTAATTATTATAGACTATTTTAGCAAATACATCGAAACTCAATATCTGAAAGATTTATTATACTATATAGGAGAGATAAAACAACTGACCAAACTTCAAAACAACTGTAAATCATTTTTTCAAGGCATGGTATTCCCAAAACAGTATATTCAGATAATGGTGCACAATATAATTGCAAGAAATTTAAGGAATTTGCAAAGAAATGTAATTTTGACCCCAAAACATCACGCCTATACTCCCCATAATCAAATGTTGGAAGAAATATTAAAAAGAATTTTATAAGAAGCTTAGTTGAAAATAAAAATCCATATTTAATTTTACTGGAACATCACAACTCTCCTCTTTCAGCTTCCAGCTCTCGTAATTATTTTTAAAACCGAAAGTATGTGCTTTGTTTTCATTGCAACATAGCATTTCATCTTACTGCCATTTTCATTTCCATAGTAACACCACAGAAATATGGAAGTTTTACAGTGAGGCAAAGACACATTAATAAAACTATAAACTTCTTTAAACATAATGATACTTTGATGAAAAAACTGAACTGCTGCATCATTTTGGCACTCTGCTGCAGCTCTCATAATTATTTTTAAAACCAAAAGTATGTGTGTTGTTTCTATAGCTTTTCATCTTATTGGTTTTTTTCATTTCCACAGCAACACCACAAGCTTATATTAAGTCACCTTCAGAATTAATATCTGGAAGATAAGTGAATGGAGAAAGAGAATTTCATCCAAACTAACCAACATGAAGAAGAGCTATATTTATTGAAAAGACAAACATTACAAAAAAGTTATGATAGGAATTGTAATATACCATTAAAATTAACAAAGGCATTACTGGTGTTATGATCATGTGTACACTGAAGGTGTGATGATCAAATGTACTTAAATAAGAAAGGAGAAAAGCTAAAAGGGAGTGGGAAGAGCATGTTCATACAGAATTATAAAATCCAACGTAAGAATTACAGTATTTTCCCAAATTTATTGTCTGGTTTAGTGGAAAAAATTCATAGTATATAATTCTTTTGTGGTCCCACCATATACCAAAGCATTACTTGTATGGGATACAGCTGTCCTTTCTATGTTGTTAAAGGAATTTTGGTCTCTGTGTTATTAAAGGAATTGTTTGAGCTTACCATTGATTTTTTCTTGTAACATTATATTATAATTCCCACTACCCATCTCCAGTAATAAGCCATTTCAAAATAGGAGCTTCTTATTTCTTTTTAGCAAAGAATCCCATGCCAAGACTCATGCAAGCATATTCAGTTCTGCTAAAGTTTGGGGCACCTACACATCAAAGCAATTTGCATACCCAATCTTCTTCAAGTATTCATATACTTTATTTTCTGGAATACTTAGTCTGTCTGATAGTTCCTAAGTACAGTACAACTCCAATTATCCAAATCGCTGATTATTCGAATCACTTTCAGAATTTAAGAAAAAAAATTAAGAGTGTGGCCACAAGCAACTTCTCATTGTCAAGTGGATGAGCAACTTGGCTGCCCGAAAACAGATGAAGACAGTCAAACAGCTTACTTTGACCGAGATGTTCAGAAAGCAATGACTTTCAGCACTTATAAGTACTCTACAGTATGCTATATAACATGCACATAAAAATGTCACCCTTTTCATTTTAATTACTGTATTTGATGGCATATAAGACGCACTGGCATATAAGACACACCCTTATTTAGACGGCCACACAAAAGGAAAAAGTTTCAATAGCGTGGTTTCTTTAGTTCTCACGTTTTGCCAAATAAACAATTATTGAATGCAATTACCTTCACGTATAAGATGCAGGTAACTTTTTTGAGACCAAATTTAGGAAACAAAGTGTGTCTTATATGCCATCAAATACGGTAATTAAAATCACTTTTTCTTTAAAAATAGTTTTTTCTCCCATTTTCAATATAGAGTAATTAATTAAAGCGTTCATAGACCCTTTCTTAGGAAAAAATCCAATTATCTGAATTTTTGATTATCCGAATGGGGTCTGGTCTCAATTGATTTGGATAATTAGAATTCTACTGTAAAATATTTTGCAACAAGACTTCATCTGCTCAAAAATGTCTTGTGATTTTGCAGGTGATCTATCACAAGTTCATTTAATCTTAAGTTATTCATATAACAGCATGTATAAAAATACTTTTTTGATGTTCGTTTGTGTGTATGTGTGAGTGTATAATTCTGAGATAAGGTACAGCTCATTCAGCTTGTGGTTGAAAGCACAAAAATCTATTTTCATTTACCTAATATATGCACAGCACATCTAGCACGTTTTAATTTTGCAAAATTGAATTTTTTTTCACCTGGTAAATCCGAGTGTTTTGTTCAACACAACAGTTTTACAAGAATAAAATTTGGACTTCAGTATATCAAAATCACCCTGAGTTTAAGTATATCAACCATGCACTAGACACTAGTAAAAATTTAATCAAAGTTGTTTTACTGCCTTTTATTAATTAACGGTCTTAGCAAATGTGGAGTGACATCGTATACCAGTTCATCACTCAGCCTCATAAATTCCTCTCATCTTCCACAATATAATTTAAAATTGGCCATTGCTTTTTCATTAGAAACCTGGTTTTATAATTTAAAGCAATCATGAAACAGTAAATTTTTTAAGAAAAGTTAACTTTACCTTTTTTAAGAAATAAAAGATTTATCCTTGCCCCCCCCCAAAAAAAAGAATTTTGAATTATTTTGTATCCCTGCATTTTTTTCCAGTCAGATATATGAATATAATGCTTTGCTCACCATTTTCTGTCCCTATAAAATCTTTTTCTAATCAAAAATCTGACTCCAGTCAGCTTTTTCTTTACTACATCATAAACAAAAGTATAAGAATCCAGACCAATAATGACTTTTTGAGAAATAGATTATGCTAATTACCTACAGTAATAAATGTTAAAAAGAAACCCTACAGCTCACTGATAGAACAATAGCTTTCCAATTTTTATCTTAAGTATCACATTTCTTTATACAAAATTCAACTCACCAGAGGTCGAGGGAATAAAATTGCTTAACATGGGTACTTTGGCCCAGGTTCAGAACTTAGCAAATAGACTGGATACATGAATATTTCATAGTTGGCCTCCCTCAATAACATCACTAAAATCGAGTTTCCCTTAACATCCACCATAAAGATATTCTTCCCTTGTCAGATAGCCCTCATGTACTTTGGGTTAATTAAATTAGCCAACAAATCAATTCTGCACAATATTCTATGCATTCGTTTTTTATTCACTATCCATAATAGATCTTTTGAAGGATAACATGGATAAAACAGAGCTTTATTTTAACAGGCTCATTTCCATGTTCTCGATTAGATTCAATAAAATAAGATTGATCCACTTTATCAAATAAATGCCATTTTGCTTTTCAAGAAAAAAATTTTATGTTTCTTAAAAATCTATAAGTGATAGAACAGCAGCAAGATGTCATCCTTACATGAAATAAAATAAGTTAGCTAGCTTCTGCTAGAAGTATTTATGTTGTAATAATAATGGAGATAGTTAAATAGTTTTAAAAAAAGGACTGGTATCACATATAACAAACCCTGAACAAACCTTGAACCACTAGCAAAGTTAATACATAATAGACTTAAACAAGAAGAAGTGGTGGAAACCTTTTTCTGTCATATGGAAATTTTCAGCTGTGCAAAAGTTAAGATTTTATTTTTCCTGCATTACAACATGATAAAATGTCGGGTTTCATTAGAATTGGGTTGGACTTCATTATTCATTTATTTACTTATTATTTTTTAGCATATAAAATGTCATCTGCCTAAGCTCCATCTCAATTTTGACTAATAATTACCTTGGAAGACAGAACCGAAGGATTTCACCCACCAACTTTACAAGAAGACTTTTATATCAAAGAATTTTAAGTGCCACACTGCAAGTCACAAATATCTATATCTTACGCAAGAACTGAACCAAAACATATAAGCACAACAGACAGCTTTTGCTAAGCATTATATTACCCACTTGTGTCAGCCGTCAGCTTATTCGTAAACAGTAGAGAGAATCAATTTTCATAATATAGACCAAATTGTTATATGTAACTAATTGATGAATATATGAAGAAATATTTACTCACTTTATTCGGAAATAAAAGGTTAAAGTGGATCCTTGTAGCAACGATTTTTTCGGGAATTCATGTTCCCATACTCGTTTATCAAGCTGCAACCACGAATACTGTCCCCTAAAAATTAAGCTTCTTTTTAAATATTACATACATATATACCACACAAATAAATAATACTTTAAAGAATTTAGAGCTGTGAACTTACGTGTCATCTATAAAGGCTATACCAAAGTATTCCTTTTCTTTTAGATTGAAATGAGATGCAACAATATCAAGTAATTCACCGGCATATAATCTTGACTGTAAAAATAAATATGCATATAAAAATCTCAATATTAATTTCATTCTTATAATTTAAAGACATAATTCAATTTATTATCCCTTTGAGGATTCAGTTACACTTTCATACCTAACTAATAAAACTAAAGGATGAACTAAACGTAAGAAAATGATTTTTTAAATCATGACGACTTTAATAAAATAATGAACTAACCTTTTTCTCATCAAGCTGAAAATTCGTATTCTGAGTTGGAAAGCACTTAAGCATAAATCAACTTATAATCATTATGGGTTTATACTCTTCATCCAAATACTTAATTTTGCCCAGTTTTTAAATGGATTTTATGCTTACTGTATTGCTATCTGAGTTTTCTGCATTATTTCTCAAGAATAATAAGAATCAGGATTTTTTTAATAATATTATGTCTTAACTTTTTCATATGAGTACTTTATATAATTGGAATGCTATTTCTTATGAATTAAAAGCAATTCTTAATATCAAATACATAAGATTTTCCATCATCATAAATTTTTCTGCATAATCATAAAATATTAAATGTTTATAACGCATTTATTAGCCCTTTTGGAAAAAACCTTTAAAGTATGACAATAAATTATTTGAAAAACAATTTTAAATTTGAAAAATTTTTAATCTACCAATAATATCATTTACAGTCAAAAGTCGTTAATCCGGACTCGTCGGGACTTCGGCGATTCTGGATTATCGATTTTTCCGGTTTATAGATCATCAATTTAAATCTCGTAAGATGGCATGCAGAAATTCTAAAATTAAAAATATGAAACCGTAATTTATGAAATAAAGAACAATTATGATCTAAAGGGTATCAAAATTTACAAAAAAAAAAAAAAAAAAAAAAAAAAAAAAGCTTAATATTTATTTGTTTACTTTATTAAACATTTCTTTCAATGTAAGTTGTTTAAGTTGCTTCGTTTTATGTGATAATACTTTCTCTTTAATTCTATAAACAGACATAATTTCTTGTTCAGTTACAAGTTACTCTGTTCAAGTCCCGTTAATTGCTGTGTGCCGAGAATACCGACTAACTTGTCAATCGAAATTTTTTCGTTTTCACTAACCTCTCTGTCACATTCTTCGTCTTTATCTTTATCCATTTTTTGCAGCAATTCCACTTTTGTTTGTTGGACATCGAAACATACTTTCGTTTTGTAGATCCTTTGGAAGTTCCAGCATCGGAAATTCTATTTGACATAATCGAAAGTTCAAGTTTACTTTTATAAAATTGCTCTTACAGTCTGCAAAAAATAATAAGCGGGATCCAATTCGAAGATTAAGGAACAACGCAATCATTAACATTAACTGAAATAGATAATTAGATAATTCCGTTATACATTAAACGCGCAGGCGAAAATGTATTCTGCACTTGCGCACACGCATATGCGCAGTAGTCAAGGTCTTACGCGCACACGTAAAACGCCTGTGCACATGTGCCAACGCGGCGCATGCGCAGAAAGTTTTCAGCTTTGAGGTCCGGATTATAGATCATTCCGTATTATGGGTGTCCGAATTAACGACTTTTGACTGTATCTATGTTTTACTCCATGTATTAATTAGCTAATCTAAATTTCATAATCCCCTACCATGGAAAGCAGAGCAAAGATTTTCATGAAAACAATGCACAGCATATTCCACAAACTATTGCATTAATATTATCTACATATATCTCCTGCAAATGCTATTTTAACACAAATTTGTTGCACATAACATAACACTGCTATGTGCAACACTTTTGTGAAGATCTCTTCGAATAATTACTCAAGATGAGCAGGAAGAAATTATCAATTTATTAGAATTAATAAGAGTGCACAGCAAAATAACAGCTGTAAATAACTCAAGCAGGATGGATGCAAAGATTAGAAAAACCACACTACACAAAAAATGTCGTAGATTACCAACAGCACTCATAGATTAAACTCTAATATGCAATTCAGCTCCATCTTTGAAACACAGACTCTCTAAAGCTACTCCGAACTTACTGACTGCTGTCTGTCAGGGCTGTGTTTACAAAGTAAACAAAAACGTTCTTGCCATTTCTGAAGTTCCATCTGCTGAAGCGCTCACGAAGAGGAAACAAAAGTACCTCAAATGCCGAAAAAGCAATGAAGGTTAGTGTGACAATTAACCTACACTAATATAGGTACACTGCACACACACACAACAAGCACAGCTAATCTAGTGTTAAAAAGAAATGAAAGTATTGAAGCAACTTGTTTGCTACACGACTTTAAGGTGGGTTCATCAGCAGCTATATCAAGTTGTTGAATATATTTGGCATTGGGGAAGATGCCACGAATGAATGCACCAGCAGGCATTGGTTCCAGATGTCAGGTCAGGAGATCTGAGCCTTTGTAATGAATCCCACAGTGAGTGACAAGGCCATGAAAACAGCCACAGAACAGGCGAGTGGTTAAACGTGTGTTGAATTTGCCAAACACTTCTAGGTTTTCAAGAAAACAGTTGGATATTACCTGCACTTGGATATCAAAAATTAAGCATATGGGTGAGTGAGTGAGCGCCACCAAGGAAGACCACTGACCTGGCCTTAGCCTCACAGTGTGTTATCTTCCTGGCAGAAACCATCTACTCTCTGCTCCATTCTGCTCCGGGAACGCAGCCGAATAGACGGCTAAGAGCCTCATAAAGTCTACATATAAGCTTGGATGTTGTTGTACGGGGAAAGAGTATCCTGTTAGGAACTACTTAAAATTAAGCAAAGAAGCAATCAAAAGACTGTTAAGAATCGCTGTTAGAATAGACAGAAACTTGTGTTAGATAAAGTAAAGATAGAAGGACTTTGCCTGAAAAATTAACTGCCGTGGATTTTCTGGACTTGCTAAATGTCTACATGCGGGTGCTTATCGTGACACAACCGTCATATCTTTATGGGGCTTCTGTGAAATCGTTGGTCCTGCATGGAGGAAAGTTGTAACCTATTAAATTATTGCACATAGTAAACTTTAAAAAAAATAAATAATAAAAAATAAAAAAATAATAAAGAGAGAGATTAAAAGATGATTAAAAAAATCCTAGCGCCCAAACATAATTTAACGCAGTTTAATTTCCATGTGCCTGACTCTTATGTAAGAACATTTAAAAGATTGTGTACCTGTTATCACTAAGATAACAAATTCCTGCATAATTTAGTTCTTTGCGCATACTTAAACTGTAGTTGTTTTACAAATTGAACCATTCACCTACATTTTCTTTCGTAGTACTTGCAGACAGGATAATACATACATAAGTACAAAACTGAATATTAAAGTGAAAAACTAACATGATACTGAGTACAGAAAGCTGATCCCTAATGCCTGCATACATAACACTTAAAAATGCATACATAATACATGAAAACTAAAAATATAAAACTGATAAGCATAATACATAAAACTGATCATTAAGTACTGCTATGTAGTCTAAATCCTAGCCAAGTACGAAGTGACCTTCATAGTACATGCTGAGAAGGAATAAATACAGACTTGAGTACTTTAAAGTGAACATAAACAGAAAAGTACAGCACATACTCAGTAAAACTGATATCTGATTCCAAACACTTGAATACATAATGCTGATACATAATTACAAAGAGAAACTTACCTACATTAATTCCATAGTTAGTTTTATCACCTTAGAACATGCACATAATTTATACAAAACATAATTAAGCACGTAATGCTGATCACTAGGGAAGAGATTCAAACATGCAATTGATCACATAAATACAGATATTTCTTCCCTAAAATTTGCATAAAAAGTTGAATATTTATTAAAATTAAGAAGGCAAAAATGCCATACCAATAATAATATCATTCATAAACTTAAGGTGATAACATAAGTTGACCTTGCCCTTCTTGAACCTATTTATCACAAACTTGTAATTTAAATACACGATTAGTAAGTGTAGGAAAAATTCATTGCTGTTGAAGATTTTACTGGCACGATCTGGTCTTGCGAGTCCTAGACCTGTACATTAATTGCAAAAGTAAACATTATAAAGAATATAGGCAGGTTGTTGCCATAGTCCTAATTATCTAAGTTAGTCTTGGGTTGAGAGGTTCGAGGTGTGTGCCCAGATTGATTTAGTGTGATTTATACATTTTATGATTCAGAGCGCTAAGCACTTGATTATTTCTATTTGGGGACACGTATCGTCGTATTAGAGAATACTTTCTCTGACAATGGCTGATTACCGCTTGTAGCTTTTTATTTGCTGTTTTGTTTGTTCTCATATTTGCCGCCCATTGTGGCCAGTAAGCTTGACTTGGCTTTCTTATATGGTACTGTGCCGTGTTTGTGCAGTGGAAGACGTAGTGGTCTGGATCCCCCACCTCTCCACATTGACATCTTTCTGTGTCACTCAGGCTGAATCTATGCAGATAGGTCAGGAATGGGCCATGACCTGTATAAAACTGTGTCTGACTACCACTATTGCAGTTTAACTCTAGCGTTGTTTTTGGGAAGAACATATGCGTTCTCCTTCCTGTATCTGCTGTGTCCCATCTGGCTTGCCATCTTTCTATCAGTTGTTTTAGAGTGATCTTTTTGAGATGAGACCTAGGTAATTTATCTGGCAGTTCTGTTCTTGAGACCTCCTTTGCCGCTTCTTTTGCCAGGGTGTCTGCTTCCTCATTGCCTTTAATGCCCACGTGAGCCGGAACCCACGTGAGGCATGGCCTTTCTGATGGTGGAAGACTGAGGAGGATTTTTCTAATTTCTTGGACATACTGGCTTCTACTTTTGTAACCTTTGATTGCGTCAAGGCTAGAGGCAGAATCACTGTAAATAGTAATTTGGATAAGTCTGTTCATCTTCACATAATTAATTGCTGCTTTAAGTGCTGCCAGCTCAGCTTGGAATACTGAGTTCCTACAGTACTGCCAAGTCTTCTTTTCCATTTATACACAACGCTGTATTACCTTTTAGAACGCAGAAGGCACTGCCAGTACCCGTCTCGGTTTTCGAGCCATCTGTAAATATAGCTGTG